AAAAAAAAAAAAAAAAAAGATATGAGCCACTGTGCCCGACCTATTATGTTATTTCTGCTATCTTTATTTGTAGCTTATAAACCGGCTCTGGTCAGGCATGGTGGCTCACATCTGTAATCCTAGCACTTTGGGAAGAGGAGACAAGAGTATTGCCTGAGTCCAAGGGTTCGAGAACAGCCTGGGCAATTTGACGAGACCTTGTTCTCTACAATAAATCAAAAAATTAGCCTGGCATGGTGGCACACACCTGTGGTTCCAGCTACTTGAAAGGCTGAGGCAGAAGAATCACCTCAGCCCAGCAGGTCAAGGCTGCAGTGGCCATGAGCATGCCACTGCACTCCAGCCTGGGTGATAGTGAGACTCCGACTCTAAAACAAAACAAAAACAGGTTCCAAAAACAGGTTTACTTCAAGGCAAGATCATCAGTATGAAATGCTTTAGGAAAATTCCCACAAAGCATTTATCATTAATTTTCTTTATCTTTAATTAAAAAACAAATAGAGACAGGGTTTTGCTATGTTGCCCAGACTGGTCTTGACCTCTGGGGCTCATGCAATTCTCCTGTTGGCTTTCCAAAGTGCTGGGATTACAGGCATGAGCCACCATGCCCAGCCTTATCATCAGTTCCTTATGCAAGAAACTGTCAGAATTCCTTTATTTTATCTTCATCAACTTGCCAACTGAAAGTATTCATAAAGGTACTAATAACTATATTCCCACATTTTACCAGCGTGGAACCATTCATAGACTAACTAATGAGAGAAACAATAGATCTTTATTCATACCTGCTTCTATGCTATAATATTCTTTTAACTACTAAAGTAGTGAGTCCTTCCATCTAAAGTATGTGGAACAGACTAGAGCTGGTATAACAGTAAACTCCACAGATCTCACAACAGTTCATAATGAGGTTGTTAGCAGTGTGAAACTCTGAAAAGCAGGCATTACTGCAGAAGTTATGTTTCACATTCTGCTATCTTATTTCATATTGAATCTAGGATTTTAAAAAAAGATGCAGTAAAGACCATTGCCTTAGTAGTCTCTGGTTGTGGTCATGTGCTCTGTGAGCTATGGCTGTCGCCACGCTTCCTGGCTTTGGCCCCCTTCCCTGCTTTGGGAAGGTCAATCTCTTTCTTTCCCTCTAATTTACTTTGTTAATAAACTATATTTTCTAATCTAAAAATAAATTTAAAAAAAGGATGCCCTCAAAACTCTAATATTTAAGCAGAATCATCAGAATTCCTCTAAAGGTTAAAAAATTTCCTACTTACAATAGCAGTCTTCTGACACATGCTGCACTTGGTCAAAATGCTATTAGTACATATGGCAACAAATGGTTTTCTTTTTTCTTCATATGATGAAAGACAAGTTGAGCTGCAAAAATTTTTGCCAGAGGTAGTATCTTCCAGCTGAACACGGATTCCATCCTTTGGATTTAAAATATCTCTAAGAATAAATAAAAAGGATACCATTAGATGCGTTTACCAATTACAATTTCTTTCTCTTCATAAACAGAACCACCTCCTTAGATAACTCCCTCTACTATTTCATTTAATATAAGCAACCTTGGACAAGTCATTTATACTACCTACACGTCAATTGTCTTGTTTATAAAGTAGAGATTAACGCGGTGGCTCATGCCTATAACTGCACTTTGGGAGGCCAAGGTGAGAGGACTGCCCATGTGTTTGAGATCAGCCTGGGCAACTTGGTGAGACTTCATCTCTACAACAAATCAAAAAATTAGCCAGGTGTGGTGGTACGTGTCTGTAATTCCAGCTACCTGAAAGGCTGAGGTGGAAGGATCACCTGAGCCCAGCAGGTAGAGGCTGCAGTGGCCATGACCATGCTACCGTACTCTAGCCTGGGCAATAGAATAAGACTCCAACTCAAAAAAAAAAAAAAAAAAAAAAAGGAAGAAACAGGGTCACACTATGTTGCCCAGGATAGCCTCAAACTCCTGGGCTCACAGGATATCCCAACCTCAGACTCCCAAGTATGCAGCTGGGACTACAGGCACCTGTCACCATGCCCAGCTTTGATAGTACAGCTGGCCTGTATTAGTTGGTGCTAGTGATAACAGAATGACTATGAGAAATCACATACACATAAGCAGCTCTGGATTCTGTAGAAGATCTCAAAGTAGGGTCTGCCAATCCTGGGGTGGGGGGTTGTCCCTCAGATACTTTCAGGATGTCCACAAGATCAGAACTATTTTTTCTTTTTTGAGTTGGGAGTCTCACTCTGTTGTCCAGACTGGAGTGCAGTGGCCGCTCCCAGCCACCGCAGCCTCGACCTACTGGGCTCTGGCGATCCTTCCGCCTCAGCCTTCCAAGTAGCTGGAACTACAGGCGCGCACTGCCACGCCCGGCT